AGAAGGCCATCATTGACACCCTCAAGCAAGAGGGTAAGACACAGAACGAAATTTCTGAACAAATAGGCTGTTCCCAGAGTGCTGTATCAAGGCACCTCAGTGGGAAGTCTGTGGGAAGGAAGAAGTGTGGCAAAAAACACTACACAACGAGAAGAGGTGACCGGACCCTGAGGAAGATTGTGAAGAAGGACCGATTCCAGACCTCGGGGGACCTGCGGAAGCAGTGGACTGAGTCTGGAGTAGAAACATCCAGAGCCACCGTGTACAGGCGTGTGCAGGAAATTGGCTACAGGTGCCGCATTCCCCAGGTCAAGCCACTTTTGAACCAGAAACAGCGGCAGAAGCGCCTGACCTGGGCTACAGAGAAGCAGCACTGGACTGTTGCTCAGTGGCTGCATGTCATTCAGAAATCAAGGTGCCAGAGTCTGGAGGAAGACTGGGGAGAAGGAAGTCCAGTGTCAAGTACCCACAGTCAGTGATGGTGCTGGTGTTGGTCCACTGTGTTTTATCAAGGGCAGGGTCAATGCAGCTAGCTATCAGGAGATTTTGGAGCACTTCATGCTTCCATCTGCTGAAAAGCTTTATGGAGATGAAGATTTCATTTTTCAGCACGACCTGGCACCTGCTCACAGTGCCAAAACCACTGGTAAATGCTTTACTGACCATGGTATTACTGTGCTCAATTGGCCTGCTAACTCTCCTGACCTGAACCCCATAGAGAATCTGTGGGATATTGTGAAGAGAAAGTTGAGAGACGCAAGACCCAACACTCCGGATGAGTTCCACACAGTTCTAATGAATTTATTCATTATTGGAATTAAAAGAATGGTTATGAACCACAGAAACCACCAACACTAGGCAAAATGGTATGAGAAAGGAGAAATATGCAATTACTTAAGGGAAATTTTACTTATTTTTCGCATAAACATGCTTGTAACCAATTGCTTTAATATATAATTGTACTTGAAGTCACTTATCTACCATGAAAATATGCGAATTATAATATTACATGGCCAAAACATGTATCAGGCACCAGTATTCCTGGTCTAGCAGGAATACAAAGGAGTAATGGTCATTTTAAAGACCTGACGGCCGCCATTTTGAAAATGGGGCCTTTCTTGGAGTCAAACTTTGGTAAACGTTTAGTCTGTTTTTAAGTACATCTGATACTACTATAAACCACTGAGAAACCTTTTGTTAGAATTTTTTTGGGGTCAAGCCATATTTGCAGCTGACTATAAGGCCGCTATCGAAGCATCCTGGGCCTCCATAACCTCAGCAGAGCCACAGGCTGATTGCCTCCATGCCACGCCGCATTGAGGCAGTCATTTCTGCAAAAGCATTCCCGACCAAGTATTGAGTGCATAACTTAACAAAATTAATTGAAGGTTGACTTTTTTTGTATTAAAAACACTTCTTTTATTGGTCGGATGAAATATGCTAATTTTTTGAGACAGGAATTTTGGGTTTTCATGAGCTGTATGCCCAAATTATCAGTATTAAAACAATAAAAGACCGGAAATATTTCAGTTGGTGTGCAATGAATCTAAAATATATGAACGTTAAATTTTTATCATTACATTATGGAAAATAATGAACTTTATCAGAATATGCTAATTTTTTTAGAAGGACCTGTAATTTGATTTGAAACAACATAAGGGTGAGTAAATGAATTTTTGAAATATTTTTTTGACACTTACACTGTTATAATCAGACACGATGTGATGAGATTCAAACGTCAAGCAAATTGTCTGTCCACACCATACGCAACAAAATAAATCAAAAATCACAGCCAATCAGAAGAGTGTGTGTGAGTCTTTTTGCAAGTGCACCGCACTCGCAACAACATGGGAATTGGTATAAAAATGGAATAAATTTTACACTACTTTAACATTATTAAAAATACATACTGAGTGAATGACCAATCTACAAGGCTGGAGGGCCTTGTATGTTGCTCCAGCCATGGCGTCGCAGAAAAAAAGAACACGTTTCTAAAACAGATTCGTATTTTATCACTGTCGCAGCTGGTTAGGACAAAAACTCTGATTGAAAAGGAAAAGAAACTGTCGAGTCAGGTTAGGACACAGTGTTAGTCTAAACAAAATGTGAAAATCATGTTTTGAAGGCTGTACAAGAAGAATTAAAAACACCTGGATCTCAAGAGAAAGAGAGACATTTAAACATTTTGAAACTTCTACTTTTGCTAAACACTCTGACTGAGAAAACCCAAAATTGGTAAGGGAATTTTACAGGCCCACCACAACCAGTGTGCCAATTTGGAAAACTTTCCTTCAAAGGTTTCTGAGGACTGCCATAGACTCCCAGCTAGAAGAATAATAAAAAAAAGACACACACACACACACACACACAAAAAAAAAACAGCAGGGACACGCAACTGGTCCATAACTATGACAGTAAAAGCCTTTAATTTGGTTCCCTTTATGTTGTGCAATGACATTTGAAAGTTTTATCTTTCACACAGAGGGCAGGAAGAAAGACTGCCTCATGCTACGCTTGCAGAACCCTGTGAAGAGGCAGCGTAGGAGAGAGTTCTTATCTCTGAAAGTGAGCGGGACAAATTGGAGAGCGCTCGAGCAAGTCGCACAATATCATTTCAATAATGAGGGCTATTTGTTTTTGTTCTTTTTTTTTTTTTAACCAGTGAAAGTGGGAATTTAGTTTCCTTTAGGCAGAAAACAGAGATACAGAGGTGGACAATGAAAAGCTGTTTGTTCTCTGACAAAATAAGACTGCAGACAAACACACATGACATAGATCAAACCTGAAAAACACAAGGGTCATACTACTGGCAAATAATGGCGAGAATGGTTTAAGCTGCTGTAAGACTGGAAACTGCTTGAAAAGATAGACCACTGGTCTATGAGACAAAGGACATTGGCAAATTACACAGTAAAAAATATTTTTTTCTGTAAAATACCATTAAATGTACAGTTTTTGAAAGTGAAAAAGAACTCATTGTATAATTTACAGTGAAAAACATTACCACAATTGACACTTCACATTTTATGTATTTTTGTTGAAATAATATGGTTTGTCATAGTTTTCTTGTTTTTTTTTTCCTAATCAGTTATGTACATTAGGGTTTTATGTTACATTTAATGTTTATTGCATTTTTTTAGATTTCATGTGTGTTACCATGATGGTGTGAATGACACTGTGCAGCTTTTTTATAAGTATTAACTTTCAAATGGTAATTACTTGTGATGAGCTTTGGTTGGTCATGTTACTTTCATCACTGCTGTGATGATTTTTGGTTTGTCAGTGTATTACAATGGTGCAAAACAGATATCAATGTTTCAAAAGATTGTTAAATCAACATTTTATCAGAAAATGAAATACGGTTTATTACTGTAAACTTGAAGTTAAGTTTGTAAAACCATTAACGTTCCTGCTGTATTTTTAACGGTAAAGTTATGGCAACCACAGCTGCCGGTTTTTTACCATAAAAAATGTTATCTCTCACCCACACTCTTGCAGAGATCACCCAAACTCACACAATAATTTATATTTTTTATGTGAATGGTGCAAGTGTTCTATTTCCAAATAAGTAAAACAAAAGGTAACAAGGTTTTTAAGAGTTTAGGAATAACTGGCACACAAAGGAATGTGGTCTCTAGGCATGGCCCTACTTCCATTCATGAATGCTAATTTCCACTGTTTCTCGCAAATGTTCGACTTCTACCCCCAGTAAGTCTGGGGTGGTTGAGGGTCTCGCGACTCTCAGCTAGGTAGCATACAATGTTGGGTTTGCACCGACATGATACATTTACCTGACATAATTGTTATATTTGATTATTTAATTGTTATATGACTTTATTTTCATTAGAGTTAAAAAGGAATAGTCAAACATTAACGTATATTCAATGATGCACAGATATCATTGAAAAACCTTTTCATTTTATGGAGTCAGATGAAACGAGTTAATACATAAGTTCAAATGTATTGCATTTAATTAAAAATCCATTTGCCATGGGAAGAGACGGAACACGCGTGAGACCTTCACCTCTAATCGATTACCGCCATTTGGATCGATTTAGCAGGCCATACACTGCCATCTTAAAACAGGATACTGGTTAAAACATCACACTCAGTTTATGTGGACTATGAGTAAATCAATCAATTTGACCATATGACATTCCTTACATTTTCACTTCTTAAATACATTGTCTAATGTGATGATGCTTTTTCCTATCAATATAAATGTACGATGTTACCATGTTTAAATCCAACCCTCAGGCTTTGTAAGCAAAGAAACAGTCTGGGCCTGCTAATGAGCAACGGCTGCATAACACTGACACTTGTCAGGGCATTCATATCCCATGGTAAATTTAGGAGCAGGAGCAAAATATACAAGTAAATTGTTACATTATCTAAAGAAAATGTTTTTGCCTATGCAAAACTCAAAGTCTCAATGTTAGCATTCTTTTGGAGTTGCTGAAGTGTTTTTTCTACATTGCTATGTGGTTGATAAGCTGTTCTGGGTAGTTGCTTACTAGCACAAGACACCAAGAGCCCACACAAAGGTCCCTAGATATGGCTCAATTCTTGACTTTGACTCTGAGGATAAAAGGGGGTGTGTGTGTGTGTGTGTTCCCACAAGGATAGTAATAGCAGAATGAGAAAATTTTGATCTTGTGGGGACATTTTCTGGCCCCCATGAGGAAAACAGCTTATAAATCATACTAAATTATGTTTTTTTTGAAAATGTAAATATGCAGAGAGTTTTCTGTGATGGTTGGTTTAAGGTTAAGGTACAGAATATACAGTATTAAAAAAAATTATTATGTCTATTCAAAGGTGCAAATCTGTACCCAGAAGTGAGCTAAATCTGACGATTTCCCCAATTGTACAACATAGTATAAAAAAGTTTTTTTTTTTTTTTTTTTTTTTAATTGTAAAAATGCAGAAATTTGTATTTTTGAGTTAAGGTAGGCATACACTATTTAGATAGCCAAGTAAATGTGTTTGTGGCCACTCACTTAGTAAGGGTCGACTATGGTCCATGACGTCTTCCTCCAGACCCGGGTTGAAACTGCAGCTGCTTCGATCGCTAACCAAGCTGGAAGGGCTTTCCATGTGAGTTTGACTGGTGTTACTGGACAGCAGGGGTGTTTGCACTTGGCCTCCACTCGATTCTGAGTGAAAAGACTTTCACAATTAAAAACATTAAAAATCAAAAGAAAATTCTAAATTCAAATCCAAAGTTTAAGCTAAAGAGGGGAGTGTTTTAGGGAAATGTATATGGAAAGAGTCATCTTTTCACAGTCCATTTTTAGCAAACTTATTACACACAGCAGTTATAAAAGCAAGCTTTTATTCAACTTGGTGGTTTTTATTCCAAGAAAATGTATGTGCATCAAGCTGTAAAACAAAACTGAGCTTCTGTGAAACATGGTAGATCTAACAGACAGAGTTGTATAAGTTCGTACAAGTTTATGTGAGTGGGTGGGCGTGTTTGTGTGTATTTGCTAGAGAATTTCTAAAAGGTATGTCTTACCGGAATCTCTCCTTTGATTGGTTTCGAACGTGATGGTCTTCCTGTCACTGCTGGATTCACTGAGCTCGGTATCACTGCCATCACTTTCACTTACGTAAACTTTAGAGAGAGAGAGAGAGAGAGAAAGACAAAATGTGAGAGAGTTAATAAAAGAGAAGAAAAACAACAACAGTGTGTGATACAAGATAAAAAGCATAGTGTTGTAAATACACAAAGATATAAAGAGGTCTGTATGAGCATTAAAGATATAGTTCACCAAAAATTTTAAATCATATCATCCTTTTCTCACCATCAAGTTGTTCCAAACCTGTATGAATTAATTTCTTCAGCTGAACACAAAAGAAGATTGAAAAATATGGGTAACCAAACTGCTCATTGGCTCCATTGACTTTTGACAGTATTAATAGTACATTAAATAGCTGCAGTCCCAAACTAGTTTTGTTAATACAATAAAGTTAGCAATGAAGTTGATATGAACCACCACAGTCATAAAAGGAACACAAAATAAAAGGAAAATAGTGGTATTTTGGGTTAAGGTTACAGAAACTCCTGTTATCATGGTAAATACACAATACTAACATGATCTAAACATATGGACACTAATTCTGATTACTTGAACAAACATCTAAATCCTCCCCATCAAACAAACAGCTAACAAGTTATGTAATGTATTGGTATTTTTGGTAATTTGGTAAAAAGTGAAAATGTTACATCCTCTTAATTTAATTTATTCTTTATAGTGAAGTGATGCACTTGCATATTAGCATAAACAATTGACCTATGGCTAAGCCACACCCCCTCCACTCACTCGGACAAACAGTCAACATTCGGGGACATTTCACAGGAGGCAATTGGTGATTTTAGGAGACAGAAGGACTATATACCATCTCGAAATCACCAAAAGGGCCTTAACTATGCATTGGGGGGTTATATTAATAATTTTATTGTTGAGAAGTTCGATGAAAAGCTTCAGCTATAGGCAAAAATGTACAGGTCACAGTGTAAACGTGATAAACCGCATATCGTTGCCATTACTGTTTGATGCTACAGTATTGACATGAATCATTCAGCACAACATTGTTAACATTTATTTACAGATACGTTAATGAAGCTACGTGACATGATGTACAACACAGCTAGAAGCCAATGTTAACGTTTTATAATGTTAGTTCAACGTTAGCCTAAAGTTACGTTGGAGATTTTAAAGATAACGTTCAAATACGTTGTTGACTTAACTTAGAACAGATGTAGACATCCTTGTTTAATTTATCCACGTTTAGTTGGTGTTGTGGTCTACCGCATAACTTAATCCAGAGCAGACACTTATCTCGGTTGAGATGTGGCTTGGGAAAGGGTAAAAAAAATACACACCGTCACCCAGCCTCTCAGGAACCTAGTGTCAGAGTTGCATGTACCCCATTCACACCGTTTGACCATTTTAAACTTATGGCAAGATTTAAATGACAAGAAAACGCGAATGAAAACTGACTAACTGCAATGCATTTCATTGGACGTGGAAGCAGAGAATGTCCGAGTGTAGCTCATCGCATTTGGGGGCGTGGATTAGCCATAGGTCAATTAAGGACTAAGAGCCAAGAGCACAGTATACTGAATATACTAAGCGAATATTGAATCAGGACAAAGCATGCTTTACTTAAACTGCGTCTGACAGAAGACTTAACAGAGTTCCTGTACTATTCAAAATAAAAGTCTTGCATCAGAAGAACATTTAGAATTATGTTTTTTTTGTTGTTGTCATTGTTTCTTTGACCACACACTCTGTGATCCACTCAAAAGGTCTTGCAACCGACCAGTTTAGAAACGCTGTTCAACAGCACAGTGACATCAACCACATTAGTAGTGCATTCATTCTGAAACAATCTGTAAAACGGCTCATGGCAGCACAAGAAGGAAAATTGTAAAATAATAAGCAGGACAGAGGCATGGGTACAGAGAGAGAGAAAAAATGGGTGTGCGTCTACAGTAATATCATTCACTTCTTCATTCCACTGTTTCTCCTTTCATTTTCTGAGCAGAGGCATGTAAGGATACCCTGAGGAACTTCTGAGTGGCTTCAAGTGGACATGGACCTTAAGACTTTCTATCCAAAGCCTTCATCATCCCAGCAGCACATGCTTGCCCTCGATCAGCGGCTTGAGCCCAAGCTGAAAATTAATATTTTTATCGGAGAGAGAAAAGGCAAGCTTCGGATCAGCACTGTTCTGCCTTCCAATTTGCTGCACTCCATCTGCCATGGTTTCAATCACAGAAAGGAGGATGGAGGTGCAGTGTTGTGGTGTGTGAGAGCAAGAGAGAGACCCATCTCCAGTTAGACACTCTCTCATTCTCTATACCGCCCGTCTGATACCACCCACCTCTCCAATCTGGTATGATGAATACGGCTATAGAGCAGCAAATTCTGTCGTCATGCTGAATAATTGTTACACACACGGGTTTGTTTGCCCTGATCTAGGGAAGAGCCGGGACGGTTCGGTTGAAACACTTTTCAGATAAACGTCGTTTTCTAAGATAAGGTTACAGATAGATTTTTTTTTTGTTTTTGTAATCAACAACTCACATATGTGTTCTCTAAGTATCATGTGTTATTCGGTACAAATATAGAATGATTTAAGTAACAATTGAATTTCAACACAGGGGTGGGAAGGATGAAACATTACATTTTAAACGGCAATTATTCATCTAATGCTTGTTTTTATGAACAATACCCAACAAGTTAATTATGTACATAATTGTTACAAACCTGTTTTGCAATTTATTTTAATTTAAAGGTGCATATTAATCATTTTGTTCTGTCGCCCAATAAACAATAGGCGATAAGCCGTGCGCATTTTGTGTGCTCTTTCTAATATGCTATTTTGATGAATCCATTTACAATTCATATTCTTACATTTCTTCCTTAAATCATATTGAGTGTTTGCTAGTTGAATACCCTTTTATTATGAAGAAAACAAGGTCATCCGCGGTTTTCCTATGACCACCAGATGTATCTGGCAGGACGCGCTGTGGGGACAATTGAAACGTTGTTTCAACCGTCCCGACAGCGCCTCCTGCCAGTTAAACCTGTTTTACACTTAAACTAAAAAAAACTCTGATTTTACACACTTAAGGATGTGTTGCAGTACTAATACATATTATTATTACAATGGCACATGAAAACATAAATACAACTTGTCAGTCAAAAAAAAAAAGTACTGCACGAAAGAATTCACTAACCAAAGTCAAAAACAGCTTTCCGGCATTAACTTTAAAACGACATGACGTAAAGAAGAAATGTTTTCATGGGTCTGATAGGCATTGCGTGCTGTACGTGCTGACTAAATTTGTTGTTTAAGGAAATCTCTCTGTTCCATCCGTCCCGCGTTTCAATCGTCCCGGCTCTCCCCTACTGTTTAAACCACCAAAACACTTGGGTTTATAGTGTGGTTGTGCATGCATTTTCATGTTTACATTTACATTTATTCATTTAGCTGATGCTTTTATCCAAAGCGACTTACAATTGCTATATACGTCAGAGGTCGCATGCCTCTGGAGCAACTAGGGGTTAAGTGTCTTGCTCAGGGACACATTGGTGTCTCACAGTGGATTCGAACCTGGGTCTCTCACACCAAAGGCATGTGTCTTATCCACTGCGCCATCACCACCCCATGTTAACAAAAAACAAAAAAAACAAAAAAAGTGTGAGAGTCATGGGAAAGGGGCTAAATATATTTTACAAAAGTATTTTCTGAGACAAATCTAACAAAGAGATAAAAAAGTGTGCATGACATCATGAGTAAAGACTCGCAAGTCAAAACTGACCCGGAACACAATAAGATGTTACAATGTCAAATGGTTGCATCTCTAAGATACTGTACTCTACGGTTTAAAATAAAATACTCTAAAAATCTGGAGAAAACAAAAAACAATTACTTTTATTTTGATAGTCTTAGTCCAAGTCCAAGTTTCATTCTTGCACTAAAAACTATAGATGTGTTCAAATTCAAATGCGTTTAGATTCACTATTCCATATATTCCCTACTGTACATTACCCCACTAACAGAGTTCACTTTTGCCTGGTTTGTGCTTGCCATTTAATAATCATTTCAAACTTAGCAAACTGGCTGAGTAATAATAAAAAGATTTTTTTGAACTCTGTCATAGACACTAGCATATATAAACCTTAATTAAACTTAATTTAAAAATCAATTAAAAAGGAATTTATACCTGTATGATTTTACGGAGCACACACATTGGACCAGCCAGCGTTTATAATTCCGCTGTTGGCAAATTCCAACACAGACAGTCAATGATTTGTTTTGTTTTTAAACCTACATTTTCCAAATGGCTTTAGACTGACCGCTTAATGTCTAAACTCCATAGCAACTTTCATTTGGTCAAGAACCAATGGCAGTCTGACTGACAAGTAAAGCAACCCATCACAGTTCATTTTGTTTAGCATCATGCTGAAAATGTAAGGTATATGTCCCTTAAATAAATGACGATGACAACTATTGGACGTATTCTATAGTCAATGGCGCAAATTTGACAAACTTCATCTACTTTTGAAAATACAGTATTTAGTTGATCCTAATAAGAGCTCATTTTCTCAGTAGTAAACATGACAGCTTTTTTCTTCCATGAGGGGGCTTTGTTTCCAGGTGGACCGTTAAAGAACGCGACGCATCTCTCGGAAATCGTATAGAATTCAACCATCAGATGATGACCCTCGAAACTCCCGAAGTGTTTTCAATTTTGCGTTCCTAAGACGTCTGAGGCTGAGACTAACCATAACATAGTTGCCAACATTAAATAACATCCATTAGAGTTTCTTGGTCATTAGTTTCTTGGTCAGATAATAGCAAAAAAAAAAAAAAAAAAAAAATCTGTGAAAATGTGTTCTGAATTTATGGATATTTCATCTGAACCAACAAAAATGAAATAAAGCATAGTATTATTATCTCTACCTAGACACCATGTGTTACTAAGACATCTACAGACGATTGTCATTTCCCTCAGCCTGTTATTTATGGTTGCCCCCTGATATTCAGAAACGTTCAGTCACATGACTAGTAATGACAGCTGAGACCAGACACCAGAAT